TAAGAGTAGCTTCATACTCCCAGTTTTATGTACCACCAAGATCATGCTGTATAAAAACTTTAACATGATCCATTAAGAATAGCGTCATACTCCCAGTTTTATGTACCACCAGGATCATGCCGTATAAAAATTTTAACATGATCCACTAAGAATAGCCTCATACTCAAATTTTTATGTACCACTAGAATCATACTGTATGAAAACTTTAATATGATCTTAAGAATAAATAGCCTCATACTCTCAGTTTTATGTTCCACCAGGATCATACTGTATAAAAACTTTAATATGATCCATTAAGAATTGCGTCATACCCTAATTTTTATGTACCACCGGGATCATGCCGTATAAAAACTTTAATGTCATCCATTAAGAATAACCTTAACTCTAAGTTTTATGTACCACCAAAATGTTATCAGCTGATTCAGATTCAGCTATTTCAGAGCTGAAAATAGAACAAGATTTCTTTTTTCTTATTAAGATTTCAAAAATGACAGCATTAACCTTCATGGCGAAGTTCTCCAACGATTCTTTTCCGCATAACCGTGACATTTCATTTCCTACAGTAGCGTGATTAGATGTCTGACAGCTCAAACATTGCGCCATTCTCACTCAGGGAGTTCAGTTCAGATTTTTTTTTTTTCCCTGCACAGATTCGTATTATATAATAATTGTCGAGGGAGGGCGAGGGAAAATGTAAAATGAAACCCAATATCGTTGCTATCATTTTACTTGATATTGTGCAGAAGCATGTTAAGGGGAGGGTTAGTAGGGGGAGGGTTACGGAGGGGGGAGTAGATAATAACGGAAATAAGTGGATGAAAAAAGATAAGGAAAGGGAAGATAAAAAAAAACCTATTTGAAGTTGAGGGAGTCAAAATCTGTATAGTATCTCATTTTTATTAGAATTTTCGAAAGGTGATACTATCCGACCTAGTAACAAGAAAGAGAGAGGGTGGAGAGAAAACGATTTTTTTTTTTTTTAATTCAGCGCAATGATGCAGCATTTCTTTTTTTTTTTAAGATTGTTATTAGTATAAAAATTTGTTCAGAATTCTATACTCCTATCTCAAGTTGCTAAAATTAAAATCCGATAGGTGTTTTTTGTGTGTAGTGTTAAATTGTCTAGAAAGAAAATGGATTTTTTTTTTCTTTTACAATTCTAATCAATTTATTTGATATTAATTTTTTTTTAATTCGAAATTTATGTTTTTAAATTATTTATATTTTAAATAAGAATAAATTTAAAATCATAGATATCGGTGAATCATGATTATTAACATTAGAATATAAAAACTATGACTCCAGTGAGTTTCGTTGTATTTCAGTTTTTCGTATTGGCATTGTACAAAAATCAGTTCATAAGCAGAAAAACTTAAATTCTTGTTATATAAAACCCTTGTTAGATCTATTTTGGTTTATGGCTCTGAAGCTTGGACTTTGATAAGATCTGATGATGTCCATTTTGGTATATTTAAGCAGAAGATTTTAAGGACTGTTCTTGGAGGTGTTAGGGAAAGTGATTGTTGGAGAAGATGGTACAACGCAGGAATTTATAAATGCTATAAAAAACCAGATATTATAAAATTTATTAAGATCAATAGCCTGCTGGCCTGCTCATGTGTTTAGAATGAACGATTTAAACCCTGTAAAAAGGCTCGTTTTACAAAGCCATAGGGATAAAGAGGAAGAGGACGACCCAAGTTGCGATGGATAGATGCAGTTGAAAAAAGATTTTGCTGTACTGAAGGTTAAGAATTAGAGTACCATTGTCATCCAGAGGAAAGCATGGAAATCTTTTCAAAGGTCATCTTTGGCCCACTTTGGACTGCCGTGCTATTGATGATGATGATGATGAATGTGCAAAATGCTATAAAGTAATTTTATCTATTTTTTTTTTTACAAGAAAACATAAAAATTATAAATTTCTTTAAATTTGATTGTTTTTAATAAAACATTGAAATACATAAAATATGTCTCAATGAAACATTTTAAAATCTATAATTATTTAACGATTACGATTTATAAAAATCAAAATAATCGTATCAAATACATAATCAAATTAATCGTAAGAGGATAAATCGTGCATTCTTACATCTCGCTTCAGATACTTCATGTTTATTTTCTGAAAAAAAAGCTAACATAACCTAAGTCGCCTATTATATACATTTTCAGTGCATAATACCGTTTTTCGGTTTCTGCATTTAACATTATTATTTTACAAAGAAAAAAAAAATTTAATTAGTGTTTGTCTCGATTGCTAGTCACGAAAGAGCACTTCCAGTTTGTTAATAATGAGAACTATAACACGGATTAGTATTGAAAATTACGTAAAGCCCATTATAGAAGCTTTCTATAAGAACACATAATTAGTTAGTCCAATTTTATGAACATTTTTTAAGAATTTCTGACAAATCGTAAAGAATTTGTTGAGCTTCAAAGATCATTAAAAAGAAAGTGAAGATTGTCTCCCCTTTCTTTTAATGTCTTTCTAGATATTTCAGGGGTCACGCAAGGTCCTTTGCAGTAATATCACCTCGTACAATTAAACCGTCGCCTCACGAAAACTGCACCATTTTTTAAAGCAATATAACTCATTCCTTGTTGCCACCATGTAAAACGATCTCCATAATCCTGTAATAAACTGAATCTCGACTCATTTGTAAAGAAAACACAACCCCAAATCTCTTGAGTTTATGAAAGATCTCTACAGTTAAAAGTAGATTAGATTACAAGTCACAGTTCTATGAAATGAACACCAGATAAATAAGTGCAAGTTATGACTCCATGGCGTTTGCAAACTTTTTTGAAGATAAATTCTTGTAATCCTTCAGTGAATATACGATTTTAATCATGGTTTATAACAACAAACAATATTTCTTTCTCTTGATGTCGGTCTCTTTTTAAATTCTACATAAAAGAACACAAATTTGGGCTAATATAAGATGTCCAAATTCTATTCAAGTCACAGTTCTATGAAAAGAACACCCTATAAATAAGTGCAAATTATGACTTCATGGTGTTTGCAAACCTTTTTTGAAGATAAATGCTTGCAATACTTTCAATGTACGATTTCACAATCATGTTTTATAACAACAAACAATATTTCTTTGTCTTGATATTGGTCTCTTTTTAAATTCTGCATAAAAGAACGCAAATTTGGGCAAAACAACTATACAAGATGTCCAAATTCTATTTTAAATATTAAATAATTATATATTATTAATATTATATGAATTATATAAAATATGAAAAAAATTATTAAAAATAATACTTAAAAATATGAATTATTATGATATGACAATTAACGTAATTAAATCAAAATACAATTGAATATAACCTTGTAGTTCTTGAATTAAGAATTCAAATTTATTTCAGAATTACATTTTAATTGCAAGAATAATATAAAAACATATCAAATTCAAAGTTTACGTAACTTATGTACAATTTTTATTTATAGAGGCATTTTTTAACAGTAAAAGCAAAAACCTTCAGATACTTTAATTTACTAAATGTGAAACACAAATATTTTTTAAAAAATATTATAAAAATAAAAGAATATTTAAAATTAAGTTGATTTTGTACTGTACTCACTCAAGTAAATTTTCCAGCTGTCTTCAGAAATTTATTTGTTTATTTATTATATTATTATTATTTTGAGACGTAGATATGAACTTTCCTGCAATTTGATTGATATTTCGAGGTTGAAACCATATTAAGAAAACATAGAAAATTATAAAATCGTGAAATTTGTGTATGAGATTCTATTAATTTTACCTTACGTGGCAGTACAAAAAAAAAAAAAGGAGAAACATTTTAACAATTAATTTTCATTAATATAACATAATGAATTTTTCAATTATCGTCTGTCTATTAAGTCAGAAAAAAATATTGGGTGTGGTCATTTGTTCTGCATATGTTAAATTACCTTAGGGACATCGGCCACTTGTTTGATGATAATTTTTTTAAACGAAAAAGAAATTGTTTCTTGATGCTATAGAGAGATAATGAATAAATTAGAAAGCAAAACTTATTTAATAATACACTGAAAACACAGTCCTTTACACTTATTTAATAATACACTAAAATGAAGTCAACATAGTTACGCAGAAATGAATGTAGAAAATATGATTTCCTACTGAATTCTTGTGGATGTTATTTAAAATCTATATATATGTTAGTTTTTGATGTTGTCATATAAATAATTATATTTTTGCATAATTTAAAAGTAAAAATTAAATACAATAAGAGAAAAATTCGTTAATATTGCAAATTCGAACTATTTAACATTACATTAAACAACAAATTGCTTTTTCTTGAATTAACAGCAAATGAAAGCTTTTTATGTCACACGGTCTATTTATATTGTTATGTACATGCATTTATTGTATATATATGCATTTATATTGTTATGTACATGTATTTATTGTACTATATACGTATTTATTGTTATATGTATGTATTTATTTTTATGTTCATGTAGTCTACGTATTAATTTTTTCTTTTTTTACTTTTAATAAAGCTCAAATTATGTCCCTCAAATTATCAAAATATCCGTGGCTAGTGAAAAACTAAAGAATTCAAAAAGGTTTTGTTGTTGTTGTTGTTGTAGGTTATAGACTACCATTTTCAGATTAAAATGACTATGTATAGTGTCCAGGAACGAGTAAAATTCGTTTTCTTCTTTCTATAATGATTTATTTAATTGTCAATTTTTCATCTTATGTTGTTGTTGTTGTTGTTTCTTATCCCACTTGGCTGGCCAAGCCCACGAGCCCGTATGGACTCATGATTGAAGGGGAAGGAAGCAGCTTCTGTTGTGATGGAGCATCCGTAGGTAGAAGCCTGACTTTTGCTCCGTGACGCTCTTACAGTCATAGGAGACCGGGACCTACGGCTTAAAGTGGATTCCGAACCACTACAAACATCCATGGCACCGCCGAAACCTGTGACACCGAGCCCCAGAGCGCTAGACACTCGGCCATTCAGGTCCCAAATTTGCCAACGGCACGCAGTGTTCCCAGGTGGTCACCCACCCAAGTACTGACCGCGCCCAATGATGCTTAACTTCGGTGAACTGGTATATTCAGCATGGTACGGCCGTTGGCGAATTATATATGTACAAATCTTATGTACAAATTGTATACTAGTCAATAAGTTTAAAAAGAATTTGTTGTTTTAAGAGATGTATGAAAAGAAAATCCAGTTAATATTTCAAAAGTACTAGTTTTTTGGAATGATTAGCAGTTGGCTTTCATTTTACTACAATGATTACTTTACAATGATTTATTTAATTGTCGATTTTTTAATTTATCTACAAAATTCATATTAGTGTACTCAATAAGTTTTTAAAAATATGCTGTTTTAAGGGTAGATGCATGAAAAGAAAATCCAGTTAATATTCCAAAAGTAATAGTTTATTGGAATGACTAGCAGTTCGTTTCTTTTTCAATTCCTTCTATTAGCTCACACTCTCCCTATATATAATCTTGTTCAAATTTTCAATCGTTCATAAAATACTTTTTATTCATCCACTCAAGTTCAAATACATTTTTTTTTGAACTTGTAGTGGATGACACTCGATGTTTATACAGTTTTTTCAAATATTAATTCATTCATTAAATTTAATTAATAAATTTTAGTTTTATAGGGGAGAAAAAAATTTCTCTTATTTAAGATATTCAGCAGGATATAAATTTTGGAATAAATACTGTCAGTAGCAAAGCGTATAGATCGATGGAAAAAATGTTCTTTTTTAGATTCTTTTTCATTGTGGGTTCTAGTCTGAGTAAAGGAAGGAACAAAATGGAAAAATTTATATTAATTGTAATTATTTAATAAAAGTAACTAAAATAAAAATTGTAGTTGTAATTGTTGACCTAAGTAGGAATTGACTTAAATTTTTTTTTTTTATATATTACTTGTTCCAATAATGATTTATTTAATCGACGATTTTTCATCGTATCTATAACTTGTGCACTAATATAGGCATAACTAAAAATCACAATACATTAAAGTTTCAGTGAAAGTTTCTGTTATGTTAAAGTTTCTATGCAAAGTTCCTCGGTGTTAAAATTCCAAAGCATAACAAACATTGAGATCATAATGCATAATCTAGGTGTACTGATCATTATGAAGTCCAGCAGAGCGCAATCGACATGAAGCCAAACGAAAGAACCCTGGAGGGCACTGCAACCAAATGCTCTCAAACTAATGAAGGGAGGGCCCAATTCGTGAGGCGTGACTCAAGATCGTGACACTCTTCATTTCACTTCGGCTCATAAAAGGACGCACCGATATTAAAAATATCGGCCAGAGCGTGCTGGAAGCGCATGAAAATAAAGTTGTATGTTTTATTGTTTTCGAAATTGTATATCTGATCTCCAGACCGATAACATATTGCTGAAAGTGTGTTAAACAAAACAACAACAGGGAAAACTAAACTAAAAAAAAATTAACATATTTTCGTTTACAACGCATTGTTTTCAGCGTGATATCTCATGCTATTTAATTAAGCTGTCAAATATTTTTATTTAATTAGTTCTTCCTAAAAGTATGCCTGAAGTTGCTTACCGCAAAAAGATAAATTATTTAAAAAATGATTGCAAATGGTGCCAATACAAAACATTGAATAGGAGAAAATATACGCTACACTAATAATACACAAGTTGCTTTAGATCAAATGAGTCCCTTTTGTATTGTAGAGAGAGTAATTAGTATTACACAAAACAATAGCGTATATTTGTTTGTTAAATTGCTAAAATTATGATATCATTAATGCATAATATAAAATTGGGGCCTAATTGCCATGTGACTTGCGCTCGATGTCACAGGTTTTGGGGTCAAGTTCCAGCGGTGCTATGGATATTTGTAGTGGCTCGAAAACCACTTTAAACAATGGGTTCTGATCTAATACGATTATAGGTTTGGTTGTCGCTCTACTGTCCTTTTGTGCACACTTTAAGCTAAATAGTACCTACAGTTTACCTGGAACCTACAGCTTAACGTGGATTCCGAACCATTCAAAAACATCCATGACACCGCCAGCATTTGAACCTGAAGCCTATGGTACCAATGGTCAGAACGGTAGCCAATTGACCATCAGGCAGCATAATATGACTGTAGATTGTTGGGCGTAGAGTTGACAACTCTACCCCGTAAAAAAGAAAATATTTCCTGTCTCGAAATCTGCCAATTGGCAGACTAGTTGGCCCACCATGGGCTTTAGTGCTAATGAAGAAGATTTAGTTTATCACTCTACTGTCATTTTGTGCACACTTTGGGCTAAGTGGACCGGGACATGCAGTTTAACGTGGATTCCAAACCACTAACAAACATTCATTCCACCTCCAGGATTCGAACATGCAGCTTGTGATATCGAAGGCCGGAAAAAATTGGCCATTAGGCGATCAATGAAGAAGAAGAAGAAGGTTATTATAAAATTATGATTACTTATGAATATTTATCAATAGAAAACTAAACTGTCCTTTAAAGTATTCTCTATACAAAATAATAGTTTGGAAAATAAATAAAAGTAAAATAAGCCATTTAAATTTCCTTTCAAATTCAAATTAATTGCATAATTTCATATTTTGTTAAAGCCTGAACTTCAAATCACTTATTATCATTATTATTATTATTTGTTTGCTATTACCAAGTTTTTGATTAGTATATTTACGTTTTTTAAAAAACTCTTTTATGTATCAATATGCTAATCTATATAATTTTACTACTTTTATACAAACAAAAAGATCTATTTAAAAAAAACTGCTTGTCTTTGTACCAATTTGCAGTAATACAATTTTCTTTGTTTTAGTTTAAGAGCTAAGATAAGAAATAATGACTTGATGATATCCAATCGGTTAATCATTCATGGCTTTTCATCGATCTATACGGTTCAATGAGCAAATCGATACAGAATCAACATACTGGCGCCAAAGAATTACTCAGGAATACTGAAACAAGAGATCCTTATTAGCACAATACGCAAAACGAGATTCAAAATTAGCGGGTTAGATTATTTGTGGGAAATTATTGAAATTAGTGAATGTAAAAGGATCTTTAGTATTATGGAGCGGGTACGATTTGTAAAAGATTGACTCAATTTAATATATTAGTGATATTAAATATCAGTAATCATTGACATTAATCCTTTTAACTCTTGATATAACAAAATTGCAAAGAAAAGTGGTATTGTTCCCTTTTCTACAGTTGTTTAAATAGTATAAAGTGCGGTATTTTGTTTCAATTAAAAGTCACTTTAATAACATCAATACAGTTACTAATAAAAATTAACTCAAATCTACAAGATGAGGATAACGTAAGATTCAAGGATAGGCAAAAGTGAATCCTTTATACATAATACACGAGATGATATTTCAAAAATTATTGAAATTAATGATTGTACAGTACCTTTCATATAAAGAAATAAGGTACGATCTCTAAAAGATTCCTTTGATTTAAAATATCAGTGATATCAAAAAATTTTATTTCTTTTCATCTAAAATTAAAATTAAAATTAAAATTAAAAAAAAAAAAAAAAAAAGGCATTTCTGAAGAAAAAGTATCTTTTTCTACTGTTTTTTGAATAATATAAAGTGCATTTTTTAAAATTAAAATAAATTACTTTTAAAATATATTGTTATTTCTAAAATCTAAAATGGGGAATGATGGCTAAAAAACGGACGATCTGGTGCTCGGTATCACATAGATAAGAGTCCCGGCGGTGCCATGGATGTTTGTAGTGATTCGAAATGCATTTTAAACCGTAGGTCCGGTCTAATACAGGCTGTAGAGCGTTGGTCGTAGGGCTGACAACCCTACCCCATAAAAAGAAAACATCTCCCATCTCGTAATCTGCCAGTAGGCAGACGGACTTGACCCATCATGGAGTTACTCTAGTGATGATGATAAAAATCTAAATATCAATATCTATTGAATATCGTTAGGTATTGAATCACAATATTGAAACCAGTATTAAATAATTGTTTTACAAAAATTGCACAATAGATGTTGTAACGTTTTATTGTAAAAATCATTATAATAAGATAATGATTTTTTAACGACATTAAATTCATATGACGTCCAAAAATATCCTGATATGAACTCACTTCAATTGTGAAAAATATAAAATAAATGGCCTGTTCTGCATATAGGCAATTTTTTTTTTTTTTTGTAATTTATCATTAATAGATATCAGCAAAAGAACAAAAAAAAATATTTGTGTGTATTTATTTATTCATTTGGTATCTGAACCTCAGTTGATCTAAAAATGAATAAAGCATAAATGGATAAAGAATTAAATAATGTTTCTTTTACTTAAAATATATTGTATCTGGAAATATTAAAATCACATAAAAAAAAAGAATTATTAGTTTTCTTCTTAAAATACGAAATAAATACAAAATACGTAAACGTAAAAAATATAAAAACGTATATACCAAATTTAATTTAAGCTAGAAACATAATTTTATAAAATTATTAGTTTTGGTTGAAGATTCTACAGACAGAATTTACTGTGAGCTAATTTTTCTTCCACCAACCAGTGCTTCAGGCCCGTAACGAAGATGAATTTTCAAGCGTCCACCTGCTCAAGTCGTGTTGGCTGCTGTTCCAGTCCTTCCACTACTAAATCTTCATCAACTTCTTTCAACAAGCTTCCATCACTGTCGAGCATGTCGTGTACAAAGACTGATAACAAATATATAGTTCTTCTTTACACACAAAAAGAAAAAGAAAAATTGTTTTTTGAATTATGAGGATGGAATGCTCTATTATGAGCAGATTATAATTGGTAAAACCTTCCACTACTAGAAAAATATTCCTAAAAAGGATCTGGATGTTTACGGTATGGCTTTGTAATGGACAAGATAATAATAGATTTTTCATGCCTGAAGTAAGTCTGGATAAACAAGGAAAGAAATCATTTTGCGGAAGAACGAATCTGACAGATGTGAGAAATGGTATTTTACTGAAGATAGCGCATAATCACAGATTGGACCTAAGTCGTTGTAAAAACAAGAATTAGTCATAACGACTAATTTAGTAATAACCTAAAACAGCTTTCGAAAGAAAATTTAAATTAGTAGTTAATTTTGTTTGAATC